CAGGACAGAATATGGAGTGGGGATGTCGTTGCACTTGTTGATAGACTGAGGTCCCGTGAACCATGACTCAAGCAACTCGCGGCTCACGCGATTATCCCCTCTCGCTCCTTCGTCAGTGGAACAAATTCCACAAACTGCCTGATCCAACGTCATCCAGAAGCGGCACACTGGTACACAACCTGTCGTCAAAGGAACTGACGAAGGAGCAAGCACAGGTTTTACGGCACGAAGCCTCATTCAACACAGCTGACGCCAAACCTGTCAACATGATTGCAGCAGTGGAATCGGTCATTTATCGGACGGAAGCGGCAGAGGAGACGAAGAACCTTATCCGACACCAAGTTACGTCCCTCCTTATGACTTACAAGCCGCGCGAAACACTCACAAAGGTCGAACGTGATGCACTAAGAGAACTCAAGGCCGACAAGGACATCGTCATTGTGCCCGCGGACAAGGGGCGTTCCACCGTCCTACTGGACGGAACAGACTACCTTCAGAAGGCCAAAAACCTACTGGAGGATCGCCAGTTCTATGTCCCATGTGAAACCAACCCCATAAAAACGCTGACACGCGAAATTAATGTAACACTGTTGGCACTGGAGAACTCGGGTGCAATAACAGCGACCGACCGACGCAAGGCGAGAGCCCAAGAAACGGCTTTGGCCCGATTCTATGGTCTCCAAAAGGTGCACAAGGAGGGCGCTCCTCCCCGGCCCATTGTATCGCTCAAAGGCACTCCAACGTACGGACTGGCAAGATGGCTGTTTCGGCGCCACAAATTTCTGATCGCTGATTCGGACACCACGGTCTGTTCGTCAACGCAATTCCTGGAGAAGCTTAAAGGAGTAAGTCTCTTGCCCAATTAGGTCATGGTATCATTTGATGTCACGTCCCTCTTTACTTATATCCCCCAGGATCTGGCAATCGAGACCGTCCAGCTACTCCTAAGAAACAAATACGATGCAACGGAGAATCGTCTCGGACATGCCCAAGTCCTTCAACTCCTAAAGTTCTGTCTCAGGACGTACTTCACGTTTGACGGAACAATCTACGAGCAAGTGAAGGGAACACCAATGGGCTCGCCGATTTCGGGATTCATCGCCGAGGCGGTGCTACAGCGGTTGGAGTCGCTGGTCTTCCAACACCACAGACCGAAATTCTGGGCTCGGTATGTGGACGATACCTTCGTAGTCATCGAACGGGATCAGGTGCTAACGTTCAAAGAACGTCTCAACAGCGTCTTCCCGGACATACAATTCACGATGGAGGAGGAAGAGAATAACCAGCTGGCATTCCTTGATGTCCTCGTCTGTCGCAAAGATTGTGGTGGCCTAAAGACCAAAGTGTTCAGAAAAGCAACGAACACGACGCAAATTCTGAATTTCAACAGTAACCACCCAATCAGCCACAAACGCAGTTGCGTAAGAACGCTATTTCGGCGTGTTGAGACGCACTGCAGTGAACCGGAAGACAAGGTTGCCGAATCCCAATATCTTCGACGGGTTTTCCGAGAAAACGGTTACCCGCGCAACTTCGTCAACCAGTGCCTGCGCAAACGAGACGAGCGACAAAATCGCGCCGACCCCAAATTCTGGCGAGCGATCCCGTACCTCAAGAACGTCTCCGAGGCCGTTAGCCGCCTTCTTGCACCACTTGGCGTTGGAGTTGCGCACAGACCGGAGGCCACCATGAGGCGTCAAGTGATGAGACCAAAAGACCCACTGCCACGGCAAGAAACATCTGGAGTCGTTTACCGGATCTGGTGCAGTTGCGGACAAAGCAACTACGTCGAAGAAACTGGAAGACTACTCCGGACGCGAATCGCCGAACACGTGGCAGCTGTACAGAGAAATATCGCCAACTCTCAGGTCGCGGCCCATTCGACGAAACCCGGCCACACATTCAAGTTCGATGAGGCCGAAATTCTCGCGTGAGGGGATAATCGCGTGAGCCGCGAGTTGCTTGAGTCATGGTTCACGGGACCTCAGTCTATCAACAAGTGCAACGACATCCCCACTCCATATTCTGTCCTGAGGCATAGACTGGCCAAAGCAATTGACCACTCGAGGAGTGCGCAAGCACGTGAGCCAGATGGCCGAGCAATCATCACGCCAGCATCCAACACGGGTGATGGGATGTCAGCAGTTAACAACTTGCATGCCGGCCATCAAGCAATTAGCGCACCAGCGGGCAACAATCCTTGATGAAGGGAGCACAGTTAATTGCTGTAGGTATGCGGTAGCATGGCGGCCGCATCCTACAAATACTGCGACTTCCTGTACACTAACCACCCTTTTCTGCAACTGTCTCTGATGATGGATTCAAGAGAGAATCCGAAACGTCAGGCGAATAAAGCCATTGTTCCAGCGATCGCTTCTTCTTCTTCTTCTTCTGATCGGACAGTTATCTCTTCCGCACGAGTCATAAAAGGAGTCCGTAGATTGGCGTCACAAAACTTGTTTTGACTGTCTTGGTTTCCCAGATGCTTTAAATGCAGAAAATCAGTTTTTACGTTCTTTTCATTTGCACTTTTTAAGAACGTGAATCGTGGGATGCTCCCTATAGGTCGCATTCAAGAGCTCGTAGAGAAATTAAAATCCAATGGTGGGGGGGAGTTGCTAATTTCTTGACTTTTACTAGTTCTATAAACTGTTGCCCTCCTGTGTGTAAAGATGGTTAAACGCTCAAGCGATCCCAAATTATTGGCTATCGAAACTTCACTACGGATAATTACCAAGAGCATTTCATTTGGTAAGAAGATTCAAACGCAGTTTTCTCCCTCCAAACGGCAACTGACCTGTATTTCTTTCATTATCAGTTCAGTCCGTGCCCACTTTATTAGCCTTCATTTTCGCCTGAGAAAATTTACAACACATTGAGCACAACCCAGGTTTCAAATAGATTCGTTATCTGTAATTCCCTGGCTCTTCATCAGAAATTGCCGATCACCTTTGCACCCTTTTCTTAACGACGGAATTTCTGCGTAAAGAGTTATGATTGGTCAGCACTAGAGAACTTAGCATTCCAGTTGCGCTATACCTTCTGTCTCAGTATATCAGCCTGTCCACTTTTTGTCCCTCTCCTTACAGGCTAACGATGCTTTCCTGGAACTTGCCATTGGAAATGCTCCCTGGCCTCTGGGTGTCACAAGTCACGGTATCCACTCACGCACAGCCCAGGAGAAAATCCACGCCAAGAACGTGGCTCACGTGCTCAATGATGAGACACAACGCAAATTCATCCAGGCTATCAAACGACTGATGACCAAGGCCCAGATCTACTTTCCTGCGGATCCCTCAAGATGTGTCAATTACATGGGCTCTTCGTGACATCACTTTGTAACTGTCTTCCACTCGCTCTCATGTAAATTGACAGACGCGCCCTTTGATAATCTCGCATGCGTACCTATGCTGCAGGAGCAAAAGTTATTTTCAATGAACCGAATGCTTACTTATTTAACTGCACTTGGGTGTTCGCTGTCGAACGCACTGAGGCGGACCGAGTTTGGACGTCCTCACCGGGACGCGGCTCATGACTAGTCTGGTAAGGATGCAATGGTAACTTGCGCCTGAATTAGTTTATGATTCAACGGACTTCTGTTACATCCGCGTACCACCCTTTTCTCATATCCACCTTGTTGTAATTACAAGACAAAGTCAAGGTCACCAGAGCTGTACGTGGGTACGATGGTCGCCGAGACTAGACAATTGATCTTCACGCGCTGTGGCGTACTTCACACAGAGTTCACATGAGTGGGTGTCGTAGGTGTAGTACTAAGGAAGAATCACTGCAGGCTGATCCTCGTTCCAATGGAGGACCTAGTTATCCTGCCAACCGACTAGCTTCCACGTCAGGGATTTTGGCCTGTGCAGGTGGTTTTAGAAGTTAGATGTTTACTGTAATAAAGCATGCATTTAATCCCCAGAGGAAGGGCACCTCTGTGTCGGTCTCACTCGCTCATGCACACCGGACCTGTCCGAGTCTGTCGGTCGACCGATGGCTGCATTTGGCTGAACGACTGGCCTGGGGCGACCCCTCACCTTCTTATGCGTGCCGCACGCATGC